TATATATATATATCTGTATATATATATATATATATATATATATATATATATATATATTTTTTTTTTTTTTTTTTTACTAGATATTTTTCAAGATACTAGTGTTCAGCTTAATGTGCAATATAAAGACATATAGGTTTTTATGTTATTATGGAAAGTCATTGGAAATCAGTCGTTTGTTCTTTAGACAATGGAGAAAATATGTATTATTAAACAGCACTAATAATATTGTCCTTAAAGTAGTTTAAAAAAAAATGCTTTTATTCCAGGCATACCCAAAGAAATAAGACTTTCTACAGAAGGAAAAATATTATAGGAACTACTGTGAAAATTTGCTTGGTCTGTTAAACATCATTTGGGAAATATTTTTCAATATTTTACAGGAAGGCTAATAATTTTGACTTCAAAAGTACTTCAAAATTATTATTTATAAATTAACAAATAAAAAAAACTATTATTATTATTATTATTATCATTATCATTATCATCATCATCATCATCATCATCATCATTATTATTATTATTATTATTATTATTATTATTATTATTATTATTATTATAAGCTTTATTTTCACAGGAAAAGCATATTGAGGATAAAATCTCTTTTACAAGAGCATCCTGGCCAAGATTAGGCAGTATACAGTTCACATGGGTTCAACAAACAAACAAAAAAACAAATAACAGGTAACATCTTTCATCCATCAAAAGACACATACAATGACAGTTAAAAACTATTCAGAACATCTAGAGGTCCATGTTTCAAACTCCAAATCATTAAAACATAATTAAAGTATATAGTGAAACCAACTCTTTAAGCTGAAACTTTGTTTGGAGGTTATTCCATGCTTCTTTAAAAAAAAAAATCCCATTTCAGTATGCCCCACTGGTAATAAACAAGCTGTAGCTAGAAACAGATTTTATTTTTTTACATTTTTTTACAAATGTAACTTTGGACAAAGATATGCCAATGCTTGAGCCTACGAGTGGACACAGCTATCCGTGTACAATGAACAATTTCTACAATTACATGGACACCAATAATTTCATTTTAATTCGATAAAGGCAATAATCTGATTAAGAGTTAACCATGTAAACAGCAATTTTTTTATTAGTTTAATCGGATTAAGGTCATAATCGAACTAAAGAGAAATCGAATTAAGACGTGTGAAGTATGCCGATTTTAGTCGCATTATTGAAGTGCAGTACAGACATGTAAACACATTAATCAAACTATTACCGTCATTTAGGGCTTTTCGCCGAGATTTGCAACAGGATAGTCCACACACACACACACACACACACACACACACACACACACACACACACACACTCACAAACACACACACACACACACACACACAGCTGTTTGACACTCTTTGCACTTACAGAGTCAGTGCAGACCACAGACACCTGCATTGTGAAATGCCGAGGTTTTATTTTTTCCCATCCATTCAGCATGCGGTATGACATTAAAACAACACTCTACCACCAGTTCATACTATAGCTGCATCCAATATCTCGTTTGTCATGAGGGGCATGCCCGAATAAAAGTGAAAGTGCCAAACCGCAGTTAAAGTCGACAAATTAATAGTGAAACACCCAAAATTACATGAAACTCCGGTGGAAATGCGGGTGACCTCAGTGCACCATGGTAAACAGTGTTTGAAGCATGCAAGATGCATTATCACATGAATTGTGGTGCACATAATTGAAAGATTTTTTAATGATTATTTTATAAAACTGAAATAATTATTATCTAAATAAACTTTAATTCAAATTTAAAAAATATATATATACATTTTTTTAATTCTTTAAATGGGTGTGTGTGTGTGTGTGTGTGTGTGTGTGTGTGTGTGTGTGTGTGTGTGTGTGTGTGTGTGTGTGTGTGTGTGTGTGTGTGTGTGTGTGTGGTGTGTGTGTGTGTGTGTGTGTGTGTGTGTGTGTGTGTGTGTGAGAGAGAGAGATGTCAGCGTCTGTCTGTCTGCTGGTAAATGAGCAGTGTGTTGTAGAAACAGTCTAATGAATGTCATTGTGTGTGTTTGCAGGAGGGAGGTTTAAAAAGGAGATTGTGGTGGATGGCCAGAGTTATCTACTGCTGATCAGAGATGAAGGAGGTCCACCAGAACTACAGGTACACACCACTGGTAGCACTTACACACTGTTGATTTTTTCAGTCGGGTATATATAGTTTCATAATTATTTGTTTGTATGCATTAGATTAGACAGTACCAAAGCCTAATCTGACGAAAAAGATTATAATTTTTAGGATCAGTGTCTAAAAATTAGTACTCCCAATGAATATGTTGGTGGAAAATATGAAATACTTTTTTAATAAACAGGAAAAGGAAAAATCTATACATTTATATAAAATTTTATTTTATTTATATACAGTGTAATTTTTTGGTAACAACTTGTTTGAATTTAAGTGCATTCTCTTTCTGTTTTTTAAAATATTTGGGTGACAACTCTGAATTTAATAAATATAACTGTTTAATAAAATAGTTTTGTGTAAATGCATAAGAAAGTATTTCTAAATGCATTTATTTTCAACAGAGGGTGTACCCATTGCTGTGCACTGTTTATGCTTGTTTATATATATGTAAAGGTAAATAAGCAAGTTATTGTATAAGGTTAGGGTAATTAGGCATGTTATTGTATAACGGTGGTTTGTTCTTTAGACTAACGAAAAAAATATAGCTTAAAGGGGCTAATAACTTTTTTTTTCTTGCCTAAAATAAAACAAAGAAGACTTTCTCTGGAAGAAAAAATATTTTCAGACATACTGTGAAGATTTCTCTACTCTGGTAAACATCATTTGGGAAATATTTAATTTTTTTAAAAAAAAGTTCAAAGGGGGTCTGATAATATATATCTATGAGCTTGGGATTTGGAGTCATGTTTTTGTATTTTCAGTTTTTCATTTTAAATATAATTTTTAAACAATAAAAATATTAGTTGTACTAGTAGTATGTTTTATAATCATATACAGTTGAAGTGAGAATTATTAGCACCTCTTTGATTTTTATTTTCGTTTTTAAATATTTCCCAAACGATGTTTAACAGATCAAGGAAATTTTCACAGTATGTCTGATTGTATTTTTTCTTCTGTAAAAAAATTGGCTAGAATAAAATTTTTAAATTTGTAAAAAAAACATTTTAAGGTCAATATTATTAGCCTCTTTAAGCTATATTTTTTTTCTGATAGTCTACAGAACAAACCATCAATATACAATAACTTGCCTAATTACCCTAACCTGCCTAGTTACCCTAATTAACCTAGTTAAGCCTTTAAAGGTCTCTTTAAGCTGAACAGAAGTGTCTTGAAAAATATCTAGAAAAATATTATTTCTTGTCATCATGGCAAAGATAGAATAAATCAGAGATGAGTTATTAAAACTATTATGTTTAGAAATTTGTTGAAAAAAAGCTTCTCTTCATTAAACAGAAATTGGGAAAAAATAAACAGGGAGGCTTATAATTCTGACTTCAACTCTATATATATTAAAATATTTATATATGATGTATTTTCAGTTTTTTAATAACAATAAAATGAAACAAATCAACTCATATTATTCATATTCATATTCATATTTATTATTATTATTATTATTATTATTATTATTATTATTATTATTATAAATAGCAGTAGTAGTAATGCAAAATAAAATTTTGTATTTGAAAATTTGCCCTCAGGTTTTACAATAATAATAATAATAATAATAATAATAATAACAACAACAACACATGCAGCAACTTTGTAATAACTTTAAAATTAACAAACCAGAGAATTTAAAAAAAAAATCATAAAATAGCATATTATTATCTATATTATTTGTTATTATTATCTATATTATATTATGTATAATATAATATTATATGTATTATTTGTGCAAATGCATTAGATTATTCAGTACCAAAGCCGAAAACCAAAAAACATTGGCCTCATATCTCAGATTTTACAACAACAACAACAACAACAACAACAACAACAACAACAACAATAATAATAATAATAATAATAATAATGACAACTTTGATAATTAAAAAATCATAAATAATTATAATATTATCTATACTAATATTGTAATAATATTAAATTTATATCATGTCAAAGTATGATGTTTATGGCTGGTCACCAATAATTTTTTACCTTCTGTTTACTTAAAAAAATTATTTTAATAAAAACTAAACCATAAAAAATGTATTATTGTGAATGTGTTGCGGCATTATTTCTAGCCACAGTATTAGATAACTAATATAAATGAGCATGCACAAATGTGAACATGACAACCTATGGTGATCATCCCCTTTACTGTATAAAAATAGAGCAGCATAAACATTCTTCAAACTCTCTAATTTCATGCTCCACCAAAAAAATAAGCAATTTTGTTCATTTTCAACACACTCAAGAACGTCTAACCGTAGATTAAAAACTGTTTACATATCATCACATAAACTCCAAGTAATACCCCAAACACCTTAATTATCTTGTTGAATTTGCAGCTGGAGGGCCGCATGCAGACGCGGCGCTACAATAATTGATGATTTTTGAGAAAGTGAGAGTTTTTCGCGAGTCGAGTGAGGAACTGTTCAAATAGCTGCTAAAATATTCCTCCAATGTGTCAGCAAGTCATCATTGGTTCAGCGGCTCCTCTCGCCCCGCGGGGCCTGTTTCAGGGTGGCCCTATTTTCACATTTTACCGCAGCTCAGTGTAATTATAGTCTGATGGCTCTCAATGGCGGCACGGATGAGCTAGGGATTTGGAGTCAAACTTTTTTCTTTTTTTTCTGCTAGTGTGGCGATAATTATTCAGTGTTCAGTTTAGCTCGGTTTTATGGTAATGCGTAATTGATTAGAATGCAAATTACTGTAGGAATCTGTAATGGGGGTTCTTCATGTTTCCTGCAGACGACATTGAGAGTGTCTCTGAGCTGAAATATATTGTTCCGCCTTGCCAAATTTAGCAATAACTCCAATTATTATCTTTCAGGTAGTGAAATAATGAGCAGAGTGATCATATATGTAGGTTTCGGTAAACGGCGAAAATTGTACAGAGCTTAAATATACAGAAACAATCTAAGTTTGTGTTACTTTTATTTATTAGCAATTGTAATTGAATAGAATTATATGCTATTGAAAATAGTTTTGAATTAGAATTCTTAACTTGAATTAAAATTTCTTAACTTGAATATTGAACACCTAAAATTTAAGACAACTGAATTTTTTAAAGTCAGATTTTTATGTATTTTCAAACCTACTTTCTGGGCGATCTGGTTTTTTTGGTTTTGAATTGAGGTTAGTTGAATTTGATGTTCAGAATTTCTTCATCTTGAAAACCTGAAACTGTATTTTTACAAACTCAACATCTGCAATCTGAATTCTGAAAAAAAAATAAAAATAAAAAATTGAAGTTTTAAGTTTGTAAATGAAAATAATATTCAGTTTTATAAAATTACAGTTGACACTAATTTAAATTAACACAATTCATATTCAGATATATGTTCAACAGAGCAGTAGTTTATTGGTGAAATCCTCTCACAAAATTACGTTCGTTTTTTATTCTAACTACTAATATAGAATAAGCTGAAGCAACACAATTAAGATTTTTTGTGACAACTTAATTTCATGTTCAATCCGCTTAAGTTTTTTTTTTTTTTTTTTTTTTTTTTTTTTTTTTTTTTAAGTAAAATAAGTTAACTTAATGGCTAAGTTAATAAACAACCAAAGCTGTAGTTTATTGGTAAAATTCACTCAAAAAACTATTTTGCTGTTTGTTCAAACTACTTATAAAAGCATAAGCTGAAGCAACACAATTCTTGTGTTTTTTTTTAAAGACAGCTTAATTGTTTCATGTTCAATCCACTTAACTTAAATTAATTTAAGTACAATAAGTTAACCTATTTAAGTTAACTAATAACCAAAGCTGTAGTTAATTGTTAAGATTCACTCAAAAAACAATGTTTGCTGTTTGTTTAAAGTACTTATAGAAAAGAAGCTAAAAACTACATTCTTTGAGTTTTTTGGGATAGCTTAATTGTTTCATGTTCAATCCACCTAACTTATTTAAGTTAATTTAATTTAAGTAAAATATGTTAACCTAATTGTTAAGTTAATTAATAATAAAGTAGTAGTTTATTGCTATGATTCATTCAAAAAATGACGTTTGCTGTTTGTTTGAACTACTTAACACAATTCTTGAGATTGTTTTGTGACAACTTAATTTTATGTTCAATCCACTTAAGTTCTTTTAAGTGAAATAAGTGTACGTACTTGTAAAGTTAATAAACAACCAAAGCTGTAGTTTATTGATAAAATTCTCTCAAAAAATGAAGTTTAAGTTTAAACTACTTATAAAAAATAAGCTGAAGCAACACAATTCTTGAGTTCTTTCGGGACAACTTAATTGTTTCATGTTCAATCCACTTAATTAGGTTAATTTATATTAAGTAAAATAAGTTAACTTCACTAAGTTAACGAATACCCAACTCTGTAGTTTATTGGTAAGATTTTTTATGGTAGATGTTTAATCTACTTATAAAAGAAGCTGAAAACACAATCTTTGAAGTTTTTTGTGACAACCTAATTGTGTTATGTTCAGTCCACTTAACTTAATTAAGTTCTTTTAAGTAAGTAAAATGATTTAACTTGGCTAAGGTAAGTTAATTAACAACCAAACCTGTAGTTTATTAGTAAGATGCACTTAATAAATGATGTTTGCTGTTTGTTGAAACTGCTTATGTGAAATAAGCTGAAATAGCACTTTTTTTCGGGACTTAATTGTTTTATGTTGAACATCACTTAATTTGATTCCTTTATGTTTTCCCAACACAAATTGATTGTGTGGAACCCAGCTTGTTTTATCATTATTTTTGTTTCGTTTTTTTTTTTTCCTTTGAAATATTACCAAAAAATCCAAGAAGGAAATTATTATAAATATCATTAAAACTATTACATCTTATCATTAATAGCTCTTAAAAACAGATTAAAATGTGTCTGCTTCTCACTCAGGGCTGTCTATGCTAATAAAGGAGAGATAGATTCCACTCTGATGACTCATACAAAGTGTTTCTGCAGACTGTTTTTAGGAAGTTTGATGATAAAAAAAATAGAATTAGAGGCTGGTTGTATTGACATTCTGTTGTGTTTAAACCCTTTATAAATGTGAGTTTTGCATAATAGCGCACCTCATATAACTTGTTTTAGGACCAGGATCACATATTTAATTAATGTTACCCATTGGAACTATATTGTAAAGTGTTAACACTGACATATTTGTTTCTGTGTGAATGTTATATGCCACGTTTAATAATAAAAAAAAAAAAACACTAGAGATCTGTGACTTAAAGCTGCTGGAATTGATAGTTTGTTTTATTCTTTTAGTTTGCGGCCTGGGTGGATGCAGTAGTGTTCGTCTTCAGCCTGGAGGATGAGATCAGCTTCCAGACGGTTTATAACTACTTCCTGCGTCTTTCTAGCTACAGGAACGCAGCGGAGGTTCCCATGGTGCTGGTGGGGACGCAGGGTGAGTCGGGCTCCCTTTGGTATGAGAATAGCAGTGTGTCTGACAAGAACACCATTAAGAGGATCATAAAGTCAGTTGAAAGGTCTGTTGGAGTCAAAATGTCATCTATCGAGGAACTTTATCAACGACGTTGTCTGTCTAGGGCAAATAACACTTTAGGGGATCCAACCCACCCTGGTCATAGCCTGCTCTCGCTCATACCATCAGGCAGGCGTTACAGAAGCCTGAGGTGCAAATAAGTGCAGTTGCGGGATAGTTTTTATCCTGTCATTATAAGACTTTTGAATAATACCATTTCTTAAGCATTGTTGATAGCTAGTGTTAAATAATAAATCAATAAATTTGTTAAACTAGCATAAATTGTTAATATTACAACAAATGGCAAAATAGGTATTTAAGTATTAAGTTATTCTCTTCAGAGATTTAAAAAAAAAAATAGGTTATTTATTATACTTTTTGTTATTATACTTTTTTATCATGTTAGGATTTTTAAGTGTTTGTATAATGATGTCTTTTATGTTCTTGTTGAGTCTGTTGCAACGTAATTTCGTTCTGCATTACAATTCTATTGTCATGTGTTGAATGACATAAATAAAGGAAACTGAACTGAACTGAACTCCTCTGTAAACACAGCACTGGGACGCACTGTGTTTTTATTAAATCAGAGTCTTGCACTTAGTCATAGTCTAAAAAGGTGACACGGTGGAGTCCATCCCTCTTCTTTTTACTCCCTGCAGAGCTTTTCATTATGAGATCAGCCAGTTCTTGTGTACAAATTGCACTTTAATAACACGCATAATTAGCAGATTAAAGGCCACACTGCAGGCGGAAACGGTTTTTGTGACAATTTTGAGATTTGGGGCTTTTTAAGTGGTTTTCTTTTTCGGTTTGGTGTACAGAAAACTATCTATCTATCTATCTATCTATCTATCTATCTATCTATCTATCTATCTATCTATCTATCTATCTATCTGTCTGTCTGTCTGTCTGTCTGTCTGTCTGTCTGTCTGTCTGTCTGTCTGTCTGTCTGTCTGTCTGTCTGTCTGTCTGTCTGTCTGTCTGTCTGTCTGTCTGTCTGTCTGTCTGTCTATCTATCTATCTATCTATCTATCTATCTATCTATCTATCTATCTATCTGTCTGTCTGTCTGTCTGTCTGTCTGTCTGTCTGTCTGTCAGGGATGTGCATAGCAGCCGGTATTTGTATTTGTTGAGGGGGGAAAAGTATTTGTATTCGAGTAAAATCCAAAATGGCATAAAAATCTATATTTTTTTCTATTACATTTTTTTACAAATTTACAAATTTACGTTATAGTGTAAGTATTGTTTAATTATACCCATTATAATAATTATGGATATGCAATATTGGTTGATGATTTTGAACATGTAACAAGAAACATCATTGAAAAAAAAAAACATAACAGCCATTACCTCATCCATGGTTAAACCAACAACTAATAAAATACCATTGTGAACATTATGAACCCCACCACCACCGTTCTTGTTGAAGGACACTGAATAGACAGAATAAAAACAGATAATACTTCAAAAAACGGTTATTCTTCTAAAAGAACTTCTTTCTAATGCACAGAATTCCAAAAACTAAAATTAACTAAATAAAACTAAATAAACCCCTGACTGGGAGATCTGGCAGAACTAAAGTAATAAAGATACAAAAGATACAGCCCTGCTATTTTCATCTGCCTGCCACAAAACAGACACAAAGTTTTTATTTTTATTTTATTTTTTTTTATGTTACACTGAAGAATGTTGAAGAAAAAAAACAGCCATTGACTTCCACATTATTTATTGTTTGTGTTTCTACTATGAATGTCAAGGACTGCTTTTCCAGCATTCTTCTGAATATCTTGTTTTGAGTTCAACAGAAGAAAGACATTTATAAAAAGTTTAAACTGAATTCAATTCAGATGTGTGCGTAGATGTTAAAAGAAAAATGTATCAATATGTTATGAAATATATTTGTTTCAATAATGTGAAAGTAAATGAGAATCATTTCTGAAAATATGTAGCATAGCATGAATTTAAATAGTCATTCATCATAATGCATAAATGATAACGTTCAATAAATGAGATCCATAATTATGATGCATTGATAATAATACCTCAATAAAAGGAGTAAAATGATTTCAAATGAACAGATCAAGCAGTTTAACCAAATAACCAATTCAGATAATACATATAGTAAATGTAAGCAGTGAGGAAATGTTCATTTTTGGATGAACTATCCCTTTAAATGCAATCAATGGTAATGACTATTAGTGTTTTATAAAGCTGTTCTTCTTGCTTGAGCTCTTTAGTGTGATTTTTATATGTGGTTTAAAGGAACAGTACATGAATATGCGATGTGAATATGTGTTTCAGATGCCATCAGCGCTGCTAACCCCAGAGTGATAGATGACGCTCGAGCTCGCAAACTGTCCAATGACCTGAAACGCTCCACATATTATGAGACGTGCTCCACCTACGGGCTGAACGTAGAGAGAGTCTTTCAAGACGGTGAGATTTCAGCACTGTTTTTACTGCACTGTATGTTCTGTGGGACATTTGGGTTTCTGTAATGTTTATAAATATGCACTTCTTGTATCTTTTTGAAAAAGGGTAATGCGTTATGGCACACATGCTAATTATTGATGTTACTTTTTACTTAAATCAGGTTCACCAATCATTACAGTGAGGGAATAATAGTGAAACAGGCACATATATTTATATATATTTTTATATATTATATTTATATATATATATATAATTTTTTGTACTATATATAGATCATTTTAATGTAGTCATTACATTGGTCCATTAACATTTCCTGCTTGTTATTAAACTATTTCATAACTTTAATAAGAGGTGGTTCAATCATTACTTCATGTTAAAACAGCTATCATAATCTATAATATCATCATTCATCAATATGTGGCTCTTTTTGGATTCTCGGAAGCTATAGAAATTAAAAATGGAAAACAGGAAAGAGTGTTGATATAGTGCAAATAGAAATGTATATCTAATATATGTATAATAACATTATTATACTATATATTATATTATATATATGAGCAATATCACACAAGTAGCAGTGGGATATGGCTGTATATCGGCACTTGTGGAAGGTGTGCGTTGGCCGCAGGCCGAGTGCCTTAGTGCCCCCACCAGTGCCGATATACAGCCATATCGCACTGCTACGAGTGTGATATTGCATTTATACAACAGTTTGACGGCTTAATTGTGTATATAAAAACAAAATCAAACATGGAGAGTCTTAAAAACCCTTTTGTATGAGGAACTACTTTCTTCCGCCTTGGATTCAAATCATAAGCTGACAGTTAAGCAGTTGAGCAAGCATCTTTTAAACTTAAGACCTGTAGTGTCTGCTTTTGCTGGCTGTATGTGGGCGGAGTAATACACAAAGGGTAAAGAGGCTTTACGGGTGCTGATATAACTTAAATATTTCACGGCTATCAGCCAATTAGATTCAAGAACCAGACCGCACTGTTATATATATTAACATTTAAAATAAACTATACTGTTAATATACATATATACAGTTGAAGTCAAAATTATGAGCCCCCCTGTTTATTTTTTTCCATTTCTAAACATAATAGTTTTAATAACTGATTTTAATAACTGATTTATTTTATCTTTGCCATGATGATAATACAGAATATTTGACTAGATATTTATCAAGACACTTTGACACACTGATATTTAAAGGCTTAAATAGGTTAATTTGGTTAACTAGGCAGGTTAGGGTAATTAGGCAAGTTATTGTATAACGATGGTTTGTTCTGTAGACTATCGAAAAAAAATGCTTAAAGAGGCTAATAATTTTGTCCTTAAAATGGTGTTTAAAACATTAAGAATTTTTTATTGTAGTCGAAATAAAACAAAAAAAGACTTTCTTCCGAAGAAAAAACATTATCAGACATACTGTGAAAATTTCCTTGCTCTGTTAAACATAATTATGGAAATAGTAAAAAAAAATAGAGA